TGGGGACAAATACTCTAAGGGACACTGGGAGACATGGGGATACAAACACTAGGGGACACTGGGTGACATGGGAACACTGAGAGACATGGGAACACAGGGAGGCATGGGGACACTGGGTGACTTTAAGACCTGGGAGACATGGTCACTATGTCTCCCAGCCAGTGTCCCTAGTATCTCTAGGGACACTGTCTTCCAGAGTCCCTGGTGTCTCTCAGTGTCTGTAGTGGGCCAGTGTCCCTAGTGTCACAGTGTTTCCTATTTTCCCAAAGTCCCCTAGTCTCCCAGTATCTCAGTGTCCCAATGTCTCCCAGTGTCTGTGTCCCCTAGTATAAAAGAAAAAAAACTCAGACACTCACTGTGATAGATTTAAGCAGGTTTATTGGACACTGCAATGCTTTGACCTGTACCCAGGTCTTTATCAAGTCTCCAGTGTCCCCTATGTATCACAGTGCCTCAGTGCCCCATGTCTCCCAGTGTCCCCTCGTGTCTCAAAGTCACTCAGTGTTCCCATGTCTCCCAGTGTCCCCAAGTGTCTCAGTGTCCCCCAGTGTTCCCTAGTATCTCAGTGTCTCCCAGTGTTCCCTAGTATCTCAGTGTCCCCATGTCTCCCAGTGTCCCAATGTCTCTCAATATCCCCTAGTGTACTAGTGACATTGGGACACTGGGAGACATGGGGACACAGACAAGCCCCCTTTTTGGGTATGTTCGCGCCTTTTGGCAGTTCTGGTTATGTGATTTGTGTCAGTTGCCCACCCTTTTACCCTGTCCATAGACTTCCTGCTTTACTGAACATTGCTGTTAGTGGGTATGGATTTACTTAAAAGATGAAAGTGTGAGATTAGCATAGGGTATGTGTTTTCTTATAGCTGCATCCTATTAGTTTCCCTCCAGCACCATCTCCTTCAGATTCAGGACTGTTTTAGTGTTTTTGGTCGATAAGATTTTGTAATTAGGCCCATCATAATTGTCAGCACCAGGCTCACTGGGCTTTTAATCTGGCCCTGCCTAGGTGCCAGTTAAGTGCTAGCCCACATGTGTGGGATATACAAAATTTAAATCATGTTTCAGATGTAGGTGTGCCATAATTTACACAGTGACCTATGTACATACATACAAACGTAGGTGCATGATGCCAATCTGGCTGTATGCATTACCCTTTCTTGCACTATTGCTAGATTGGGTCTGATGAGAAATATAACCCACAAAGCAACAGTAATGCTGAAGGTTAACCTTCACGGTCGTAGAGGGAACACTGACCTAAACAAACATTAATCCTATATTGCATGGAGTGAAAAGACTGAAAGTCTCAAACTACGGCATAAGGTTTATTGAGCATTGGTAGCATCTCTAATTATTGTAAATACTTACTAGAATAGAATATAACAATGTATGCACAAGTTGTTTATACAGTATTTAAAACTGAGATTTATAAATCCAATCTTGGATTATGAAAATGTATTTCTCTTTCTGGATTTTTTTGTAGAATAAAGCATCACTTTGTAGGGATATCAAATCAATAGACACAAAACTGCTATAGCTAAAGTAATTGAAGAGCACATTCCATTGTAGTGAATGTGTGCAAAGAAGAACAGATAGAATGCTTGATTTCAGGCATTGTGTTATTGTCTGCAAAGTGAATATTCAGAAAAAGATTATTGTTTTCTCTATGCAAAATGATTCTCTTCTGCTTTGTAAATAATATGTCTGAGAAGATGATGTTCAATTGTGTATGAAGCATCGGATTATGAGATGAGAACCTAGTGTATGTGTGATTCTGAGTTGAAAATGTATTTTTTGGCACAACTATGATCTATGCTAAAACAGAGCCAATTGAAATTACTTATTCTTACACATGCTGCTGACACAGGTTTAGAGTCAGAACTATATACAAAGAACCATTCATTTTTTCATCCGTAATCAGGGTTATTCCCTACACTGTGAATAATCAAGAATTAATCAGGGAAATGTACATTGGAAGTCTAAAGAGCTGAGCTGGAAACTGGGTTTTCCCTCCAGATTAGAGGCAGTGCAACATTAGGGATATCACCTTTATCTTCTGAGAAAAAACAGGACTCTATAAAAAATATTTTTTTTAAACATAAAAAAGTTAAGTCCCTCCTCTTCAGACTAAAAAAATTCCCCAAAGAGAAAATTCCCCACTTGTCAGCCTGCCTTCAGCAAGGTAGATAGGACTAATGTTTTTGTTTTCCCAGGCAAGGTGAGAAGGCTGCAGCTGGGGGGGAGCTCAGCTTATCCAAAGACCAGCTTTGCTTGTGGGGTGGGTTCTTTTCTCTTCCAGTATTGGAACATATGCAGGTGCCTGCATTCTATGCTTATGTAACTTCTGCCCCAATCCCTGCAGGGAGTGGCATGGGGGCACTTAAACGCACTGCTAAGAGGTCCTTAAGATGAAATGCATGTACTGGTTACGATGCATTCCACTTGGATACAGTGGCGTGCTAAGAGCACGAGCAATGCTATTTCGGTGCTTTGCTCGATATTCAAACAGGAAGGACTTTCAAAATTATTTGAACCCCAGTCACAACTCTCAGTCGGGTAAACTAAATATTTGGTCTTTGCTCTAAAGAAGCAGTGGAAGAAGCAAGAAAAGCAGAGGTTTCTACTTTTCTGTCTTGGTTTTCAGTCCAGTCTCCAGTCATCTTTTACTTCTGAATCTGAAGTAAGGTCTTCACAAAAAAATAGGAAAAGGAAACAAAGTATATTCTGACATCATTTCAGAGTCCTCTGCATCATCCTCTGAGGATTCAGATGTTTCATCTGATGAAGACTTTGCTTCCCCTTATGAATGCTTGTGTAAGCCTAAAATTTATTTTCTTTTCTTATGGATGAAAAGGTAGAACAGAGCAAACACAAGAAAATGAAAGGACCACTATAGGCACCCAGACCACTTCAGCTCAATTAAGTGGTCTGGGTGCCAGGTCCATCTAGGGTTAACCCTGCAGCTGTAAATATAGAAGTTCCAGAGAAACTGCTATGTTTACACTAGGGTTAATTCAGCCTCTAGTGGCTGTGTCATTGACAGCCGCTTGAGGCGCTTCCGCGCTTCTCACTGTGAAAATCACAGTGAGAAGACGCTGACATCCATAGGAAAGCATTAAGAAATGCTTTCCTATGGACTGATTGAGTGCGCGTGTGCGGCTCTTGCCGTGCATGCGCATTCAGCGCTGACGTCGGAAGAGGGAGGAGAGTTCCCCAGCACCAAGGGAGCCCGGCGCTGGAGAAAGGTAAGAGTTTAACCCCTTCCTCCTCCTTCAGCCCGGCGGGAGTAGGACCCTGAGGTTTTCCTGGCACTATAGTGGTCCTTTAAGTCTTTTTCCTTTCACACTAAGCATAAAAATCTCATGCTTAGGGAGTGGAGATTTCCCTTCAAGAAACATTTTTTTACCATTCACTTTAATATTTTATTTTCAATTAAAGAAGAAGACAATAATAAATTAGAAGAGCTTCCTAAACCTGGGTAAGAAAACCACTCTCCCTACTGGAGATTCCAGTGGATTGCAAGATCCTATGGACAAAAAAGCTGAATTTACTTAAAGGAACTCTATAGTGTCAGGAACACAAACATGTATTCCTGACACTATAGTGTTAAACCCACTATTTAGGTCCCTAACCCCCTTTCTGAGTGTTAAAAAAGTTTCTAAACTCACCTATATTTGCACGCCATGCTGGCCTTGCCATGGCTAGCCCCACCTCCATGGCTGAGTTCATCAAACTTGAGGATATCATCCACTCCAATCCTTTCCCATAGGAAAGCAATGGGAGGTTATTGCTCATGCATGTCAAAATACTGTGCTGGGCTAATCAGCATCTCTTCATAGAGATGCATTGAGATGCACTATATGCCAGACCAGATGCCATGTACATTTCAAGGTGGGAAGCAAAAGTTAATCGGCGTTGTAACAGTGGAAACCGGCACTAGAGCCAGGAGCTGCGGGAGAAGGGGCAAGATTAACTGGGCGGCTGAACAGAAACATGGGTACCCAAGTCCCCAGAAAACCACCTCCAAGATGCCGTGACATGCCCTGGGACAGGTAAGTGGCAGCGGGGCCTGTTACACCTTCCAAGGGGGCTCTGTAACATTAGGGCGCCTCTCAATAGAGAGCTTTAATCTTGGCGGGAGCGTGAACATACCTGGCCGGCTCCCAGAACAGGGCTGGTGCAAGGGTTTTTGCTGCCCTAGGCAAAACAAAGATTTGCCGGCCCATTCGTTCCACCCACTCATGCAGACTTACCTACACTGACCCATACAGACACACACACACAACTGACCCACACACAAACACACAAGATCACACTGACCTCCCACAAACACTGACCCATGCAGATACACACAGACCCATATATGCACACACACACACTGAGTCATAAAGACACACACACTGACCAATGCAGAGACAAGCTAATCCATGCACACACACATAGAGATTCATATAGGCACACAGAGACCCATACACACACTGACTCATAAAGACACATACATTGACCTATACACACACATAGCTTCAGTGAAGGACAGGACAAATGCATATTCTGTGTGGACAGTCCATACCTTGTATCCCTGCTCATAGGTAGAAGATGTAGATCTCTTGGTGTCACCATCCCCCTTATAGTGTTGCTGTGTAGCTGTCAGTGTTTGGTGTAACATGTGTTCTTTGAGATTGTTTAATCTTTGGGATAGATCAGATACATCCATCAATCAAGGGCATGGCAGATTTGGAAATGCAGTGGACTGGTAACTATAGTTCGCAAAATGGAGAATACTTGCTAGATTGGTGCATAGGTCTGTTATACAAGAATTCCGCAGCAGAGAGCAGAGACAGCCAATCATCAGAGATATTGTTCTAATATTTGGTTAGTTTATTCTGTTTACCCATTTGTTTGTGGATTATATGCTGAAGATAGACAATGTTAGATCTTGTTGGCATTGGCGGCAGAAGTGGGACTAATAGCGGGATGTGAATTATGATGCCCAGTCAGTAGTGATGGTTTGAGGGATACCATGAAGACGGTAGTCTTTGTGTAAGAACAATGAAGCTGTCTTTGATGCTGAAGGAAGACCAAGAGTAGGAATAAAGTTATCTACTTCAACCAGAATTACCATGCTATTGTTGGAACAGAGAAAGGTTGGAGGAGAGCGACTTGTTTGGTCTTAGGGGTCTTTGATGGGACATGGACATACTCCTTGGTGTCTTTAGTAAATTGGCCACCTGTCATATCTGACAACTGATATCTTCTAGCATTTATGTGATTCCTCAGTGACCTGCGAGCAGGGTATCATGGAATAGATTCCGAATCTCTGGTTATAGAGGAGGAGCAACAAAGACTCAAAAGTCGTAATACCAGAGTGCTTGTTTGAAATGCAAGGGTGGAGTTACATCTGGTGGAGGACTGCCTGTATTTTGGATACAATCTAGAACTGACATGTTTACAGCAAGAAATTAATGAGTTGGTAATATGGTATTAGGTGTCTCCTTACTTAAATCCAACTCTTTAAACATCCTGGATAAGGCATCTGCCTTCTGATTCTTTGAACCAGGATGATACATAATCTGCAGCTGGAATTGTGAGAAAAAAAGAGCCAACCAGGTCTGGCATAGACATTTGGCAGATCAGAGGTATTTCACGTTGCAATGGTCTGAGCTGAGTAGAAATGAAGTGGATTTGCTTCAGTAGGTTTGTGCAATTGGACCTAAGAAATAGAGATACACAGTTATTTGAAGGAATTTACAGCAAGGAGGGGGAAGCAGGGGTGAGAGGAGGAGTGGTAGAGCAGAGAAGACATTTGTTGTATACAATTTAAATATTTGCCAACCAAATTCTATCAGCCAAAACAAAATGTTACTAACTACATGTAACTGCAAGTACAAAATATTTTAGTAGTAAACTATAAGTAAAAATGGTAGCATTCTTATATAGAGTTGAGCGAACCCGAACTGAAAAGTTTGGGTTCGTACCAAACATTACGGTTTTTGGACCCCAGACCCGAACACGGACATTTCACTGTATGTTCGATTTGGAGTTCGGCATTCGGCGTTCGGCGATTTAATGGCGCGTTTTGAAAGGCTGCTGGGCAGCCAATCAACAAGCGTTTGACTTGTGTGCCTCTAGAAGCCATCACAGCCATGACTACTAATGGCATGGCTGTGATTGGCCAGTGCAGCATGTGAGCTATCTACCAAAAGGCTGAAAGACCTAAATTGGTCTTTCAGACACATTTACTAATACTAATTAAAGATTACTTAGTATTAGTAAATTATGCCCCTACTCGCTATACCGCGAGTAGGGGCATGTCTATTAAACAGTGAGCAGACTGTAAAAAAATAAAATAAAAACCTATTGGCCCCCACCCCTAAACGGCAGGTGGGGGCCCTAAAGTAAAATAAGGGGGGGACCTATTGTCCTCCCCCCAGCCCCCACCCCTCAGCGGTGGGTGGGGGCCCTACATAACAATGAGTGTAATGCTTTAGAGGCACCACTAGGGGCAGTGTGTAGGATTCCGTAAGCCACGTGCTTCTGGGAATGACAGCACAGGCCTGCCACTGAATAAAAACAAGATGTAGGAAGGAAGGATTGAGTCTCTTTTCCTGAATGAACCTAAGATGTAGTACCAGCTCTGACTTAACCCCCGCCAAAGGACTAGCATGTGTTATAGCCTGTATAAGTTTGTTCATGTTTAATCGATTGTAACATCTATGTTTGTAGTATTGTATAATTATTGTAGTACATTGACATTCTGCTAGCATCTGTTACTTATTATATTTATATTAAATATACATTTAATATTACAGTGTTTTGTGTATTTTATATCCACATATTCGACCATGATACCACAAACTATGAAAAAAAATAATGTTGTTACTTATTGCTTAATTATTTTATATTAATTAAAAGATTAATATGCATCTTTAAGTCACGGCCACAACATATGGTCTCGGTATGTTTGCCAATGAGAAGGCGAACAGGTTCAGTCTCCAAGTGCACAGGCATGGTTTTCCATCAATCAAGTACAACAGAAGGTTTTTTTTTTATGTGTAGGTATATACCAGGAATTTAGAATTGTTTAATGGAGGAAACAGCAGCTAGCTCCTGAGTCGATGATAGCAGTAATAACGTGGAGAAAGGCAAATAGGAATGGAGAGGTAAACGGAAACTAAAGGAGCTGCAAGGTTTTACAGGCATAGGCAACCTTTGGCACTCCAGATGTTTTGGACTACGCCTACCATGATGCTTTGTCAGCATTATGGGTGTAAGAGCATTATGGGGGATGTAGTCCACAACATCTGGAGTGCCGAAGGTTGCCTATCCCTCTTCTAGGAGGTGGAGGCAATATTCAGCTTACCCAAAGATGATATTGGATGGACAGGGCAGTTTTACAGTAAATAACCTGTCTTTCCACAGTAGAGACAGAGTAAACAACGTACCCACGTGTACCTTTTTTTTTTTTTTTTTACAATTATTGCAATATTGTGTGCATAATTAGTGCAGGTTAAGGAAAGTAATTAAAAATAAATTCATTTAGTTGTTCTGATTTAGAGAATATATCATGTGTCTAGGATTTTTTTTTTGGTAGTTACAGGTCGCAAAACACAAGGAGTAAAATAAACTTTTAATGTGGAGCGATTTTAGAATTTGGCATGTTTGTCTTGTAAGCTTAATAGCCATCAGAGAACAAAATTGCCACACAAAAGTATATATTTATATAAAACAGCAGTCACAGGCTATTTAACTAACATTTTTTGACACTTTATGTAGCCATTTCACCGCAAATCTCTGCTAAATATTGGACTAAAATTTAGTTGTTTTTTTTGTCAACTCTGTCTGTTGATAGAATTGGGAACTTCCTAAGCATTTTTAACTTTTTACACAAGAACTTTAAATAATGTTATAAATGATTTTTTTTTTCGATTTTTTCTTTTATCTTTTCACCCCTAACGTAACACTAAACTCCCCAATTTCCCATGAATTACCATGCACCCTAATTAACTAAATAAAATTATAAAAATAAAAATAATGAAAATCAGAGTCAGAGGTCAGAATTGCAGCAGCCTCCTAGGATAAAAGAGCAACTTTAAAATGGAAGAACTAAATAATAAAAATAATAATAAAAAAATTATACATATATATATATTGGAAGGCATGGCCTGAAGTTGTGGGAGGGGCTATATACCTACTTAAGGGGCTCCCCCCTTCCCCTACTTACCTTCATTGGTCTAGACGAACAGCCCCACCCTCCACTCCCATTATTTATATTTCCACTTTATTTACCGGCCTACAGCATACTTTGGTTTCTGCACACCTCAACCGACTATTCCTTTTATTTACTCCTCTTCACCAGCATATTCCATATCATATGAGAATGCCCTGAACACAAATATATATATATATAAATATATACATACATATACACAATTTACAACTTATTCGCCCTGGGTGTGAAAAACTTTAAAACAGTTGCCAATACAAAGGCCGGGCTGAGAGGGGCAATCAGGGAAGTAAAAGCTGGTTTCAGTTCTTATGCCCCTCTGGTAGCACAACCTGCACCTTTTCTGTGGTGTCTTCATTTTGGGGGTTGGTGGTATGCGTAAACAGAAGTGACCTGTTTCAACCCTTCTGCTGCTAGGCCCGGCTGATGGTTCCCTACTGTGGCACTCAGTGAGCAGCCCATAATTCAGCTGAAAATGAAAATCCAGAAATGTGGATTTAATGTCAGCATTTGCCCTTTTGTATAGAATAAAGGCATTATGTGTCGCCATTTGCATTAGGTTAATGCCAAGCTTTTTGTACCATGCTGCTTCCTCAGTATTAAATATGGCTTCAGCAGTTGGTAGGACAAGTCAACTCCCCCCATATGCTGGTGGTACTGCCTAATGCAGACTAGCACCCGTCTAGTTTCTTGTCTGCCACGAACTGCAACTCTTTGAGTGTGCTCAGTATGCATGGATGTTAGCATGAACAGCTCCTTTTTATCTTTAAATTTGAGAGCCAACAGTTCGTCCTGGCAGAGAGCAGCCGTTTCCCCCCTCTTGAGCTTTTTTTGTGCCAGGGCTTTTGGGAAACCGACACGTGTTTTTTTGATAGTGCCGCAGGCCACAGTTTCAAAGCTATAAAGCATCCAAAGAAGAGGGATGCTGTTATAGTAGTTATCTATATATATAAATGATACCCCTTGTTTAGCAATGGGTTAATTAGATCCCATACAATTTTCCCACTAGTCCCAATGATATCCAGGCAACCCAGGGGATCCAAGTGGCTGTCTTTCACTTCGTAAACACGGAAGGTGTAAACATAGCCACTGGCACTTTCACACAGTTTATATAACTTTATCCCATACCGGGATCTTTTGGCCAGAATATATTGCTTAAACCCCAGTCTGCCCTGGTATTTCATCAAAGACCCATCTACACAAATATTTTTTGTGGAGTCTAAATTGAGCCAAATTGTCTGTTAAAGTGGGAATTTAGGGGGCGAATCTTATAGAGGTTATTGTACTGAGGATTATCTCTTGGGGGGCACTTTGAATTGTCGCTGAAGTGTAAAAAGCAAAGTATTGCTTCGTATCTGGATTCATGGTCTGGGAGTAAATAGGGGTGCTGCATACAGGATTTTTGGACCAGTACATCCCGATGCTGTTTTTTTAAATAATCTCCATTAGCATAGTTAGTGCCCATTTTTTTTTTAATTTTGGAACAACCACCAACTACCAACTCTCTTTCCTGGTGATGAGACTCTTATCATTAAGTGTCAGGTACTGCGCAGCATAAATGTTGGTCTGGGTGACGATATCCTCTAAAATATCATCCCCCAAGTATAGCTGCATGAAATCCAGTGCACTGTAGTTAGCCAATTCCAATTGAATTCCAGGACTACCAGTAAACTCTGGGATGTCAGGCGTATAATCATTTGGGGGTTCCCAGTCACCAGCATCATGAGCCATGTCAGGGGACTTGGCACTTACAACAGAGGGCACTGCAGTATCTGGCACAGAGTCACCACCACTCTCAGAGGCAGTGTCTGTGGCGTCAGAGTCGGCTGCTAAAATATCATAGGCCTCCTCAGCAGTGTACCTTCTAAACCTGTAACTTGAACTTAGTTATTCTAACTTTTAAAAACAGTTTTTTCAGGGTTTTTTTTTACTTTTTTTTTATACTTTCAAAACTTCTAAAAACTTTTCCAAACATTTAGTCCCTAACTAGCCTAACACTCAATTTCCCACTAATTCCACCCACTCCAGCTAACTAAAGAATCAACTTAATAAAATAACAAATTAAATAAAATTTAACCCCTAAGGATT